AGGAGAGAGAGCAATAGAGAGATGGTAAAGAGGGCATTTTAGGAATAAGGAGCAGGTGAGCAAGGGTGCAGATGGAGAGGGGGATGTTAGGGTTGGGTAGTTAGGGCTTGTCATATGACTGACTTCCTCTGATGTAGATGAGAGGTTGGATGAGGGAGAACAGGAGTGGGAGGGCTCTGGGGTATTATGTCCAGACTTGGAGCAATGCATCACTCAGAGACAAAATTTTAAACAAACAAGACTTTTGCTTAGAACTGGTGCTGCCAGGAGGGGAAGAGAGGGTCTCTGAAAGACAGAGGGAATGGGGAGAGTCAAAGACCAACTTGTGTGACTTCCCAATTTGGGGGGGGGGGCAGAGGCTGGCCCTGCCTAGCCATTTCTGCCATCCCCACCACCCCTCCTCATCTCCCTTCTCTCTTTCCCTCTCCCCAGTCACCATCCTTGGAGGGTGGGATGGTAGTGTAGGCGTGAAGTCAGAGAAGAAAGGATAGTTTAGCTGTATTCCTAGAGTCATACTAAACTCAGGACTCCTGGGCATCTGCCAGGTTCATCCATGGGAGTTTTCTGAGAAAGGCGCACACTGATTCTAGATCCCTAATACATTGTCAATAAGAGCCTTGCAGTTAGGGTACTCATCTGGCTGGTTTACTAATTTCAGGCTGGGCCAGATTTTCTTTCTCCCTCCTTCCATCAGAAATCCCCCTCTCCCAGGTGGCCTTTGACAGACTCAACCTGTCTGCTAAATAAGTGAAGGCCTCACTGGCAAGGTCTGCCCCTCCTCTGCCTCTGTTTGTTTGCCACACACAACATGTCTTATGCCTAAAGGTTACATTATCATCTCTTCACAGCTATATTAAATCCTTGTTCTCTTAGACTCCTGGGGAAGAGAGACTGCAAGATGAATACTAAGCCCCTTGAGCTTGCTCGCCTTGGCCTTTTCTCTTGGGAACAGATGGATTTTTTTTGTCTCCCACATTTGCTCTTTCCTTTTCCTCTTTTTTCCCTGCCCCAATGCTGTTTCTAAAGGTGAGGGCACTTGAAAGTATGGCCCACCTTTGAAGAATCAAAATTGCATGTAAATGGAAAGATCTGATATTGATGTAGGGATTCATAAACAGTTTTTAGCATTGAAGCAGCCTGGTGAATGAAAAGGAGCATTGGGCTGGGTATCAGGAGACCCCTCTTCTTGTCTCAGCTTTGCTAATTTGTGATGTGACCCTGACTAAGTGACTTCTCTTCTTTGGACCTCAGTTTCCTCATCAAAAAAAGTGAGACGATTCAATTTGATAATATACGAGATAGATTTTTCAGCAGATATTTTATGAGTCCATATTCTATCTTCCTCTGTCTCTGGATGGCAGTAGCTCTGGAAAACGATAGCTGATGTTTATCCACAAATGATATTATTTGATTCTCACAACGATCCTCTTGGTTTTGAGTATTTTCTCTGGCAGTCCTCCCGGCCTGGAACGTTCTCCCTCCACCCCTCTGACTACTGAGCTCCTGGGCTTCCTTTAAGTCTTATCTAAAACTCCACCTTCTACAGGAAGCCTCCTCTAACCCCTCTTAATTCCAGTGCTTTCCCTCTTAATTATTTCTTATTTATCTCTTATATAGCTTGCTTTGTATATATTTGTTTGTATGTTGTGTCTTACACTAGATTGTAAGCTCCTTGAGGGCAGTCACTGTCTTTTGTCTCTTTTTGTATCCCCAGCTTTTAGCGCAGTGCCTGGGACAGAGTGGGTGCTTAATAAATGTTTATTGAATTGAAGCAGGGACTTGAGGTTTTATTCCACCTCCATTTTGTTGATGAAGAGAGTGAGTTCAGAGACATCATGTGACTTGCAGATGGTCATGGAGGACATATTGGAGACAGGATTAGGAAGCCTGTTCCTGAGAACAGGTCCAGCACATTTCATTACATCACAAGGTCTCCTTCACCTCAAGGGTTGGGGCTTGATCTCACCGGAGTGTGTGGGGAAGATGTGCGTGTATGTCAGCCTTGGCTTCCACGTCGTTGAAAGTGAGATGGGATCTTTGGGTCCCGCATGGGCCACAGCTCTCATTTGCAGTGTCCACCTCAGTACTGCCCACTCAGGAAATGCATGGTGATTCCGTGGACAAGTCCCATGCAGTAGACTGAATGGCCTAGTGGAAACAGGACTGGGATCTCTGGCTGATTGTGTCAGGCAGTACTTCGGTCGTGTTCATTGTCTTCCTGGCCCATTCTCCCCTGGTTCCTTGTTGAAGACAGAGTGGGAGGAGTGTGATTGGCTGTTCTTGGGTGACCATGCAGAGGCTTGGCACATCATGCCAGCCTTTCTTTGACCTTGGACAACTCAAGACAACTTCCTGTAGCTTCTGTTTCATCTGTGTAAAGGGAATGGTGCTGATGCAAAGTGACCCCCTGGGGTACTGGACAGGGAAAGTGGGGAATAAATCTCTTTGTGGAGTGTTTTGTTGTCATTTAAATGCCATAAAACTGTTCAATAGAGTGTCTGATTATCTTTCTCTAATCTTAAATGGATACCTAGAATGGAAAGTCCCATATCAGAGCTGAAAATTCATTATCTCAAAAAGAGTTTAATGGGTGAGGTTTAAATGAACTGGAGGAAGTTAAATTGTGGCAGGGGAAGGAACGGAGAAAAGTGCAATGAGTTGTGCATTAAATTTAGGTAAACACAATTATGTGTAACTGGATTATCATGCGTGCAGACTGGCGAAGTATATTAGGCACCTGCGTTTTGATTAAAATCGACTCAGGTGCATGGGCTTGGAGGCTGGTGCATTCAGATGCACCCAAGCTACTGCCTAGACCCTTATATAGTGAGGACTGACTCCTAGCAAGCAGGTGGGTTTGGGAACCTGTGAGGTTAAGACAGAGAACTTCCCATGGAGCTATTGTGCCAAACCTCTCCACTGTATTATTTAAGATGGTTGACATCTACACCTCCTAGGTACATCTTGAAACAGGTGGTAAATGGTGCTGAATGGTGGCGAACAGGTAATCAGCTGACATCTATTAAGTACCTACTATGTGTTAGGCACTGTGTTAAATGTTGGGGATGCAAAAAGAGGCAAAAGACAGTGTCTGCCCTCCAGGAGCCTCACAATCTAATGGGGGAAACAAAACGCAAACAAATATCAGATTTTAGGTAGAAATAATAGGTTTTAGGGAGAAAGATGAGTTCTGTTTCAGACGTGTTTAGTTTAAGTTTCTATGGAAAATCTGAAAGGTAGTTGGAGATATCTGGAAGTCATCAGACAGTTTGAGATAAGACAGGTAGATTTGAAAATTATCAGCAAAGAGATGATAATTAAATATATGGGAGCTGATGAGATCACCAAGTGAAGTATTATATAGAGACAAGAGGACCCAGGACAGAACCTTGAGGGACACTTATGGTAGAATGATAAGATTGGAAGTCTGATGGTAAAAGTGTTAAGAAGAGAGTGAGAGGAGAGAAAACAGAGACACTTATTGTAGATAGAATTTTCAAGGAGTTTAGCTACAAAGAGCAGAACAAATAGAGGATGATAGTAGAGATGAAAGGATTAAGTGAGGGGTTTTTCCAGGATGGGGAGACATGGACATGTTTGCAGGCAGTAGGAAATGAGCCAGCAGATAAGGAAAGATTGAAAATAAGTGATAGAATGGGGATGAAAGAGGGGGAAATCTCTTGGAGGAGATGGGATGGAATAGGATTGCTTGAGCTGGTACAGGAGTGAAGAGGGGTTAGTGGTAGAAGGCATATGAGTGATATGATATAGGGAAGAGGGGAGAAGAGGGAGCTTGAAGCAAATGTCCTCAATTTTTTTCTGTGAAATATGAGGCAGGGTTCTCAGCTGAGAGGGTGGGGAGAGGGGAAGCTGTGGGAAGCTTGAGGAAAGATGAAAAGATTTGGAAAAATCACTGTGGAGAGCGAGATAGTGGGTTAATAGGGCAGATACAGAAGGATTGCCTAGCAGCAGTGAAGGCCCAGCTGAAGTTGTGTAACATACATTTGTAATGGATCCAGTTAGAATATTTGTGTGATTCTCCCCCTCCTCCTTTTGTTCAGCAGCAAGCGTGTAGGAGCAAAGATGGCAAAATGGTGGGAGTGATCAAAGCTGAGGCTTGGCAGGGCTCACTGAACAAAATGATAAATGATAAAGAGGCTAGGGATTCAAGAGAGGTGAAGAGCCAATATAATATGGTTGGATAAGGAGATTCTGGAATTTTTTAATATGGAAGGGTTACATTTGTGGGTGATGATAATCATGGGTATGACCACATTTCTATGTGACTAAGGTATAGTGGAGGAGTCTCATGGGAAATGAATAAGTTGAGGAGCAGAGTGGTTAGCATGTTTGAGGGACAATCTTTATATACATATAATATGTATATAATGACAACAGCATGATTAACCTAGGGATAAAAATGGGCTTCTACAGCAATGGTATTAGGGAATGCTGGATTAGTATTTTACTAGTCATTCTGCCACCTGATTAAGGTTGAGAAGGAATTGCAGACCTTTGATACACTCAGCTCATCATTACCAACATCAAACCCTGTTTTATGGGTCAGTGGGGGATTAGGGATGGGTACCCACACATCTTTTTTAGTTAGTCAGAGCCATCTCAACTAGAAAGAAAACTTTTCGTATTATCTCCAGGTGTCCAGCTTGGAGAAGGAAGCCAGCCTAGCTTTGTCCCTGACCTTGAAAAAGTACAGATGTGGAGAAACAGTCTGACAATGCTCAATTAATTCCTGTTGGCATGTTTGATTTCAGATGCAAAGCATCACTGGGATTAAAATAAATGCAAGCAGTTATAGGGATGCATTAAATTAATGATTTCTTTTTTTTCCTGCTTGATCCTCTAATACCCTCAACTTTAATGGATAAATGCTAAACCTTTCTCCAGGGGGATCAGAGATGCATTATATATTGTTACACAACCTAAAGGAAGCCTTTCTCTTCTCCTATATCTTTCCCCTTCCCATTCCCCTCCTCCTGCAGGTGATACTGATTCTGACCAAACTCTATGACTTCAACCTGGGCAGTGTGACGGAGAGCTCACTTTGGAGGTAAGCCCTTAATGGTTATGAACTTCTCTGACTTAGCTCTTGTAAATCCCCCTGCTTACCACCTGGACAGTGATCCAGAGAGCCCTAAACTTGGGGGGGGGCAGGGGTGGGGAGGAATGATAGGACCTGCAGCTCCAGCAGCTAGCAGAATGTCAAGCAATAGAATCAGCTAGTCATATGGTTTTCCCAGGCCTTCCATCTTGAGGTAAGAGCTGATGGGTCCAGGCCTTTTCTACAAGAGAATGAAGATGCTGGCAGTAGGCATAGTCAGGCAACATCACTGAGTGAGCCCACTATGGGTAGAACTCTTGGAGGAGGTGGGTGCCATGCCAGAGAACTGAGACTTACATAATCTGTTCTCAGGGAGCTTTAGGTCTGATTGGGAGACACAGTCCTATTCTCAGTATGATTGGAACAGGGGAGACTCTGGCTCTGCCCTTGGGGAGGCCTCGATTTGAGGGTGGACATGATCACCATCCACAAGGTTACCCAGATCCAATGGGGGCAGACAGCTCTACCCTCAGGGGGAAATAAAGGCAATACAGCCTCTGCTGAAAACATGTGTCTTAACTTTATGAGGATAAATGGGAGATTAGCTTTATGTGGGCTAGCTAATAACCCAGGGTAGGTGGATTTTGCAACTCACATTGAATTCTAAGAGGAGGACTGAGCTCTCTCACCTTGTGCTTTCATAGACTGAATATACTTCGAGTAAACAAGGCTGATTTTTCCTCTGTTCTAATGTGTTGCTAAGCCCTATTGTAAATAGATGGGCATTTCCCCAGTTGTGCTGTATCTCTTTAGTACTTTCATTTATTCATGCATGGGATCACTTAATAAGCATTTATTAATGCTTACTTTTGTGCTCAGGCTTGTGACTCGTATTCGGGAGGAGATAAAGTAAGAGGAAGATATGGTCCCTGTCCTCATAGGAGCAGAAAGAACAGGCAGAGAGATGAATTAATGAAAAAGATGGTGCAAGATTATTTGCCAAGCCCTATGCTAAGTGCTTGGGATACAAATAAAAGAGGAAGGCAGTCCCCTCTCTCAGAATTCACATTCGAATGGGAGAGACAACAGAGATGGAAGATTTTGTTGGCAAATTGGATGGTCTTGCATGGCTCTCAGAGTGCAGTGGCAAAGCCAATATTAATGCTTCTTCTTCAATGTCCCTTCCACTGATGAAATCTTATCAGTTTCTAATCCATTTGACAGTGCCAAGGACTCTGGTGGCAAGAACTTTCCTTTCTGAGTCTTTGGTAGCTGTGGCTATAGCATTTGCAAGAGTAATTACCAGGTTACATTTCCACAGGGGTTGCTTCCCAGGATGATGGCTGAGGGCCCTGGGCCAAAAGCAACGTTTTCACAGTGATCCTGGATCCAAGGTTCTGGGCTATCTCCATCGGGGTCTGAGGGGAGATGGTGGTCAAAGTTTTAATGATAAGATAAATTTCATACTTCTGAAAGAATCATAGAACAGTTTCATCAAATTGAATTGTAGAGAGATTTCTTATACTGAGTGGGAAATTGGATTACATATTCTTTTTTTAAGGTACCTTCCGATTTCTAGATTCTTTGGTTTTATAGAAGCAAGTGTCTGTTGGTGCAGTGCAGACTATAGATGTTAAGTTATTAGTGAGGTAAATTAAGGGGCACGTCTGTGAAGGTGAGCTTTGGAAGGCTTCAGAGAAGAGTCATGGGGGTGGAGCCAAGATGGTGGAGGGAAAGCAATGACTTGCTAGAGCTCTCCCCCAAACCCCTCCAAATACCTATAAAAATGGCTCTAAACAAATTCTAAAGCAGCAGAACCCACAAAAAAACAGAGTAAAACAAATTTCCAGCCCAAGACAACCTGGATGACTGATCAGAAAGGTTTATCGCGCTGGGCTGGGAGAGGAGTGCAGTTCAACATGGGTGTGCAGGCTTCAGCGACCTTGGAGCAGGCCTCAGAGGACTGAATTGCGGGCAGCTGTGGAGGTTTCCAGACTTCTCAACCCACGAACGCCAAAGACAACTTAGAAGGTCAGTAGGAAAAGTCTGTGACTGTGGTGAGAGAAGAAGCTAGGTCTCAGCCACCCTGAGGGCAGTGGCTACCTCCTGAGCTTCTGGCCCACAGACTGAGGGGGAATTGAGTGGCTGATCAGAGGGGGATTGCAAGGATCTCTTTGCCAGGGCTGAGGCAGGAATCTCTTGTTTTGCCCGTGCTTGGATCTAGGTCACAGTTCTGAGGGGTGGTCCTAGGGCGAGGAGGAGTGCTGGCATGGTGGAGCTTGTTGTGGCGGTGGAGAAGAAACACCTCGCTCGTTATCATAGCACCTTGGAAGAACTGACACTTTTCAGGTCCCTAGAAGTATCTCTGAAAACAGCTGTACAAACCCCCAAAGCTTGAGACAGTACATTCTTCACATTGGAAGCAGACTCTTACCTTAACAAAGAGTTTAAAACTCAAGTTATTGGCTGGGATCATGAGTAAGCAGTGCAAAAGAGTCAGACTATATTATCTTACTTTGGTGACAAAGCAGACCAAAACATACAACCAGAAGAAGACAATGAAGCCAAAGCTCCTACATCCAAAACTTCCAAGAAAAATATGAATCAGTCTCAGGCCTTGGAAGAGCTCAAAAGGGATTTTGAGAAGCAAGTAAGAGAAGTAGAGGAAAAACTGGGAAGAGAAATGAGAGTGATGCAAGAAAATCATGAAAAGCTAGTTAACAGCTTGCTAAAGCTAAAAAAATACTGAAAAAAATAACACCTTAAAAAATAGGCTAACCCAAATGGCAAAAGAGGTCCAAAAAGCCAATGAAGAGAATGCCCTAAAGAGCAAAATTGGACAAATGGAAAAGGAAGTCCAAAAGATTACTGAAGAAAATATTTCCTTAAAAATTAGAATAGAGCAATTGGAAGCTAGTGACTTTATGAGAAATGAGGACGCTATAAAACAAATCCAAAAGAATGAAAAAATTAGAAAACAATGTGAAATATCTCATTGGAAAAACAACTGACCTGGAAAATAGATTCAGGAGAGAGAATTTAAAAATTATTGAACTATCTGAAAGCCATGATCAAAAAAAGAGCCTAGACATCATCTTTCTTTCTGCCCTGATATTTTAGAACCAGAGGGCAAAATAGAAATTAAAAGAATTCACTGATCTCCTCCTGAAAGAGATCCCCAAAGGAAAACTCCTAGGAATATTGTAGCCAAATTCCAGAACTCCCAGGTTAAGGAGAAAATATTGCAAGCAGCCAGAAAGAAGCAATTCAAGTATTGTGGAAACACAATCAGGATAACACAAGATTTAGCTGCTTCTATGTTAAGGGACCGCGGCGCATGGAATATAATATTCCAGAGGGCAAAGGAGATAGGATTACAACCAAGAATCACCTACCCAGCAAAACTGAGTATAATTCTTCAGGGGAAAAAATGGTCATTCAGTGAAATAGAGGACTTTCAAGTGTTCTTGATGAAAACACCAGAGCTGAATAGAAAATTTGACTTTCCAATACAAGACTCTAGTGGAACATGAAAAGGTAAACAGGAAAGAGAAATCATAAGAGACTTATTAATGTTGAACTGTTTACATTCCTGCATGGAAAGATGATATTTGTAACTCAACTCATGAGACCTTTGTCAGTATTAGGGTAGTTGGAGGGAAAAAATTATATGTATGTATATACATACATATAATGTATGTATATATGTATATATATGTGTGTATATATATGTATATATATGTGTGTGTGTATATATATGTGTGTATATATATGTGTGTATATATATGGATATATATATGGATAGATAGATGGCACAGGGTGAGTTGAAGATGAAGGGGTCATATCTGGAGAATAAAATTAAGGGGTGAGAGAGGATTATACTAGGAGAAGGAGAAAGGGAAAGGTAGAATGGGGTAAATTATCTCACAGAAAAAAACCAGAAAAGAAAAGGCTCTTACAGTGGAGGGGAACCGGAGGAAGGTGAGAGGGAATGAGTAAATCTTATTCTCATAGGATTTGACTTAAGGAGGGAATAACATACACACTCAATTGGGTATGGAAATCTGTCTTACTCTATAGGAAAATAGGAGGGGAAGGGGACAAGAGAGTAGGGGGATGATAGAGAGGAGGGCAGATTGGGAAAGGGAGTAATCAGAAGCAAATACTTCTGAGGAGGGACAGGGTCAAAAGAAAGAATAGAATAAATGGGGGACCAGCATAGGATTAAGGGAAATAGAGTTAGTTTTTCACCGCGTGTCTACTATGTGTTTTGCATAACTGCACATGTATAGCCTATATTGAGTTGCTTGCCTTTTCAACGAGGGTGGGTGGGGAGGGAGGAAGGGAGAAAATTTGGAACCCAAAGTTTTAAAAACACATGTTTAAAAAAATATTTTCACATGCACCTGGGAAATAAGAAATATGGAAAATGGGGTATGGAAATCTATCCTGCCCTACAGGAAAATAGAAGGGGAAGGGGGGGAGAGATAGCAGGGAAAGCAGACTAGGGGAAGGGGTATTCAGAATGCATGCCATCTTGGGGTAGGGGAGGGGCGAGATGGGGTGAAAATTTGGAATTCAAAATCTTGTGGAAGCAAATGTTGAAAACTAAAAATAAAAAAAAGAATTAAAAAAAATTTTAAAAAAAGACCAGAGAAGAGTCATGACATTCATTCATTCATTCATTGGTTTGTTCATTCAACAAAAAGCCACAAATGTTCAGTAATAGTCAATGCTATTGACACCTTACTCTTCTTGCATATTCTCCTCTCGGTTTCTGAGATACCGTATTTTCCTGGCACTCGTCCTACCGATATAATTTCTTCTTTTATGTTGTTCACTGACTTCTTGTTTTCTTTCCAACCACCGAAGGTAGATATATCTAAAATTTTGTTCTTAGCTCCCTTCTCTTCCTTTTTTTTTTTTTTTTTTAAAATCACATCTCCCTAGACAGTCTCATCCACTCCCATAGGTTCAACTGTCAAATCTACACAGATGACTCCAAAATG